TTCTGTGGGGGTACGTTTTTAAAAGCCCGGACCGAAACATAATGGATTGCTACCCTCGGATCCGCGGGCCGCGATACATTATCGCCGCCGGCAGGTATTATATAAATTTTATATTGTATTATATTATTATTATCATCGTCGTCGTCATTATACATTGTGAGAGTGTGTATTATACGTATAAAGAAAAATAAAATACACGTCCACACGTGCAGCGGCGGCGACGGCTCAATAGGGTGTACGCGAGCGCGCGCTCACGCGTTTAGGTAGCCCGGTGACGAGACTGTTCCTCATCCTTTTGTTCGCGGACGCCCACATCGGTCGCCACCGCGTCAGTGGTGTCTAAAACGGTTCGACGGCTCCGGGTTAGTACCGTCGTCCTACATGCAATATTAGTAACTCGTGGGCTCGTTAAGAAACCGCCTTTTTTTTTCTTTCCTTTTTCGATTTTCTTTTTTTTTCCTTCTCCTTGCACGCACGACTGCCGCGCACCGCACCGCGTGTATTTCACATGCAGTCAGTGGCCGCACAGAGGCTTGCGCACCCGACCGATTCCTATGGAACACGCGACCGTGGCAGCGTCAGTGGTGACGCGACGGTGCGGGTGACTCTGCGCACAGATGCTGCACCTCGAGAACCGTCGTCCACCACTCGCGTGCATCGTGTCCGTCGTCACCTGGGACGACGGCCCGGTCCATGCGCGCGACTGAAACGCACAATGTTACACACGTTAAGACGAACCCGCAAGTAATAAGCGTATATGCGCGTGTGTGCATGTGTATGATTTGAACTACGACGTAGCGTTGTGCACGTGTGTCGCATAGAAGGCATATGTGGTTTTCCGAAAATTATCAAAACTAGATGTATATTTCAAATATTTGGTTTACCAATTTGGCTTAGCTATATAGAGATTCTATCCCTCAGTTAAAGTTAAAAATGTACAAAAAAAAAAAAGTTACAAAATTAAGTCGCGTTATAATGTTAATGCACGTACATCGGTGATGATTCATCATACATGCCTATCTGAACACGGTTATCAATTTAAATGATTTTAAGTCTAAAAAAATGCCCTCATTTGTTAGTCATACATGTGTTACGCTATGTATGCATACAGTCTGGTTTTTTCTATCACTAAATATGTATCGTCTAACTGTTGTACACGTTGCACACATAAATAACGCAGAGTAAAAAATTACATACTTTTATAAGTATAATATGTTATTTTAATTAGTGGGTGTATACTATTGTAGTTGTGTTCATAAAATATAAAATATTATACTTATTTTAATCAGATTTTGATCGCGCAAAGGATTGCCGTGGTCATTTTACATAATTTTACGTCAAATCGTACCTGCTCAGATTTAATGAATAATTTTCCCGGAATATGTTTACAAATTCATGGGAATTTTATATTTTTCATTTATAAAATTGTTTAAACAATATCAAGTTACATGCATCCATTCACCGATCTTAAGGTACTTGGTCATTTAACATAAATACTATATAAAATATAAAATAGCTTATGCATTATAATTGTAATGGTTACCGTAAGTACAAATTATAAACATTTCAATATCATATAAAAACTTTTAATAATTTCAAATTATAACGAATATTTGTCTTTGTATTTTATTAAAGTATATAATATAATTTAAATTATAATTACCAGATAAACAAATGCATTTAGGTAGATGCTTATTAGGTTGATTTAGATCGCCTGAGGATTTTTCAGCTTATAATCTCTGCTATGAATTGTTATTTATTAAATATTAAGATTTTTAAAGTATTATTTTATAGTATTTGACATTTTGTGTTGTGTTGTGTGTTATTTCATATGTGATTTAAATTATAATATTATAAACTGAAAATTAGACAAAAACATATATCATACAATTTTATATCTTAAAACAAAAAGTATTTTATTATTTATTCGTTTTGACTATTTAAAAACCAAGGCTTACAATAATAAAATTCCAATAGTCTAACTCATTAAATAAATAATTGGTCCGTATCTCGTTATTATTGTGAATAATCAGTAGTCACTGTGCTCAGCGTTTATCGAACGACAGTAACCATAATATGCAAAAGCATACCGTGACAGAATTAAAATATTATTTTCATTTATAACTTTCATGGAATCATCGGTTTAAGCGAGAATTATCCTTTTATCATAATCGCAATACAAAGTATTATCTTATATAAAATTTGCAACCTAATGTGAATTTTTTTTTTTATGTAGATAAATCAATACCACTACCTACATAAAAATGTTTAATTCAAACTCAACAATGTTTATCATTTTATAAGTAACTATTAATAATTTTGAATTATTCCATCTCGGATAACAAAAGCATACTTTCATGAACATTTACTAGCTAGAGCATGGTTTGCAATAAGCAGATTTGCTGACTATGATGAAAAATATTTACAGTGATAGAACCCACGAAAAAGAACGTTCAAAACTATACAAAAAAATCTTGTTGATTTAAATATTGACATATAAAAAATAAAATATTATTTAATATTAAAAAAAATAAAAGTCACCCATTTGTTTATTATACAATATATGTTACAAATTGTAAATATTGTATTTTTATCAAAGAAAGTTTTTGAAAAGAATGTTTTTATAAACCATAACCATAACATATCATTAAGTAAGGTAAAATTTTAATTCCCCGTTTTTTTCTTTTAAATATCTTGACTACTCCGCACTGAAAACATAACTCGATCGTCGTTTGAACCGAGTACGTCAATCGATTTGTCAGTTAATTTTTGGTGCTTATAAACACGCTAGGTTTATACGAACAAAATAAAATGAATAAACGCATACGCAGGAAGTATTAAAAATAATAACAACAACGGGAAGGGGCGTGTTCAGGACGGTATGGAAATTTGTATAACGTAGCAGGTATGTTTGAACAACCCTCTTTTTATACGCGGTACAGTATATATTTTATGTATACAACTCGCACACACATCACGTATTATTCTGTCCGTCGCCACTGATGTCCAGAAAAACGGCCATGTACTGCACGTATAATGAATACAAACAAGACTAGGATCCCGCGTGTGATGTTTAGACACGTCGCCGTAAAAACGGAAATCCTAAGCAAACAACGACATCTCAAATGAGTCCACCCGCGGAATGTTTGCTTTTCGTTTCACCGTGTATCCACGCGTCGCGTAGCACTGTCACACATATTGCCAATATCAATAATAAACATTTTAAATTTTTCATTAGGACCTATATACAATTGTAACGTGGTTGGGGATGACATATGTGATATTTAGAAAAGGTTTTTTGGTCCTTTTCAATATATTTAACCGTAACTTAGAAGAGTTTCCGGTTTTGGAACTTTAATATTACAAATAAATGTAGATTGATTTAGTTTGGTTATTAATATTTATTATATGTGTTTATTTACAACTTACGGGCAATGGATATGACTACCAGTACTCATGAAGAACCATCATCTCTTACATATTCGGTATTGGTCGTTTGCTTTACAATAGTGATATATGCCCTAGAGAGAATGTAGTGTAAATTCAGCAAATATATTATTGTGTAAACTAATAATGATGTAACAATCGTTAAACTATTTTACAACTTCAATATAATTGATCAACAATAATATACAATAACATATAGAACCTACATATAGTTATTGTATCTATATTAATGATATCGATTAAAAACGTAAATGAATAAGAACGTGAGTACGGATTCCGCCTACAAGTGATTAAACATTTTGAACTTCATATTTATGCATGTTAAACACATTGCATAAGCGTTCACACGGAAGGTTCCGAGTGTGTTCGGGCACTCTTTGAAATATTGTAAATGGGGCCCTACGATTTAAGTCTAAGAGTAAGGGGCCCCTATTTTAACTGATGTTTCTCAAATTAAATGAAATTTATTCTAAGATATTTAGTAAAAAATAAATTATGTTTCTTAATAGAAAAAGTAGTGTAAAATTTTCTAAATGTTCGTGCAAAAACTTCTGATGATAATATAACAGCTGCAATTGACTACAAAAGTACAAATCAAAAATAATTTTAAGTGTCTAAGAAAAATGTAAAAGACTCAAGGAAAATATATTCATTGGGACTGATATACAAAAATATTAAATACAAAATTAAAGTTGTATTTATTTCATTATTTATACATTATAATTTCTTGAATATAACTATATGTTGTGTTAAGATAGGGCCCAACAATAATTGTAGACATCGCCTGAAATACAAGTCTGCCCACGCTTATGAACATATGTGTACGTATTTTTTAAGTATACCGTTTATTAGGATTGAACGTAAATCACACGTAACGTATTACGGTTTTTTTATTTACACTTTTTTAAACTACCTGAAAAATTTTTCTTATAATGATCAAAGATTTTAATACATTTCAAAGATGTTCATGAATACTTGTGGCGTATGTTAGTGAAAATCAACATTTTTACTCTTTTTGAGGATTTAAATATTATTTTGTAGGCTTGTCAGAGGAAATATTTAATCGCAACTGTATGCTGGTGTACGGAATATATGTGCGATGGGTATTCGTCGTTCGTAGGGTTTGAAGTCTAAAAGTTCACACTATTTCCGTTCGCTACAGAGCCGAATCGATGGGCACAAAGGGAACTATGAGAATTATGGGAATATGCGGAACTCACCCTTACTTCGGCAGCACCGTTCCACCAAGTCGGGCACGAGTAAACAAATAAATAAATACGTACAGCATCTCGGCGGTGGTGGCGGCGCCAGTAGACAGGTTGGGTGGTGCGGTACGAATCGGCGGCACGCGGTTGCGGTGGGAAGACGACGAAAATCGTGAAACGGCCACGAGCAACAAGTCCCCCCACCACCGCTGAGAGCACGGCGGCGGCCGACTGTTGTTCCGCTACAACACCTGTGCGTGTGGCCGCCCTGTGGCCCGCGTGCGCGCGTGCCTGCGCGCGCGCGCTCGTCCGCCTTGTCCGCCTTCATTTGATCATTTCGTTCTTTTTCGGCACGGAAGCGCCAAGTGACCGCATCGCTTGCTCACGCGCACGCACGTACGTACTCACGCACGCGACAACACTCGCACACTCGCGTCTGCCGCTCGGCACATTACCACGCGCCGCGGAACACCCGGTGGTCTGTCGTTGATACCGTCTCCCGCGCGCGCACACCGATCCGACATCGACGTTCGCGCGAATGTCCGTCTGCGCACCGTCAACCGTCGCACCGGGTTTACCGTTTTCCATTTATATTACCCGTCAGTCACCGGACGCGCATCGCGTTAACCGCGATCATGACTTCCGGAGTGACGGCCGACGACCCACTGTCCCAGGGCTCACCGCTAGCCACCGACCCGTGCACCCAGAAGAAAATCAACGAGAACAACCGAAGGGTAAGTCGCACCGAACTAAATCATATAACGTATTGATATGTGTAACCAAACTAGGTTACGAATTTTGTGTCGGCCTGACTTGTGCGTAACGATTTCGATATTCGATTTTTGGAACCCTACCAATAGTGAATACCAATATTAAAATCGTGTTGGTTTTCGAAACGATATTAATTATTTTCCATTTGTGATGTCGGTCACATAAATTTGAAATTAATTTTTCTACTCATTATTTTCCGTGACCAGACAAGCATAAATTATGCATATCCGTAAATAATTGATCATCCCTTAAAACAATTTTTTTTATTAATTAAAAAATTTTTTTAAACGTTTTAGTTATACTGCTTATAAATAATTACATATAATTATTACAGATAGAAACTTCAATTGTAAATTATCCTATTATTTCAAGTTAATCAAAAAAATCATAATATGTATGTTTTATACCGCTAAAAAACGGTTCAACATATATTTGTAAAAACATTCAGTCACATATTATGTTATAACTAATAAATATAAAGTATCAAAATTTATGAAAATTTATGTAAATAAAATTTTATAATTTTGATGTACATATCGATATAATTTGTACTTACTCGCATTTTGAGACTAAACAATATCAAAAAAGTTTTTATGTTTTAAAATGTATCAAATATTTTAATATCTATAATGATCAAGTTAAAAATATGGCAGTATCTCTTCAAAACTTAAAATCACAAAATCACTGTCCAAATTGAATTATAAGATTTATGAAAATTAAATTGTTTGACTTTCGATAATAATAATAGACAATTCCATATTTTACTAAATATAAACTATGAAACACGTTGGCATATAAGACCTAATTTATGATACAAAACTAAAAATATAGTAATTAGGTATTGAGCATAAGATATAGGCAATTTATTATACATAAATGTTAATGTAGTGGTCACATGTTGGCGCGACGTATTTAAAACAGATGACGGTTAAAATTATAAATTACTTTTAAATATTTAGAATACAAACATTTTTTTTTTTTAATTAATTACAAGTAAACGATCATAGTTTCTAGTTTAAGTCAATGAATTATATATTCAATCCAGGGATTCTATTGAATAATTAAATTATCTTAAAATAATTATAACTGTTTTAAAATGTAGTACTTACTTTAGTATAGTCATCAATTAATTTAAAAAAACAGTTTATTAAGCATATTATCATTATATTTATTTTTAATTTTTTTAGAGTAATAAACCAATAATGGAGAAAAAGAGAAGGGCCAGAATAAATAATTGTCTGAATGAGTTGAAAACTTTGATCTTAGACGCAACTAAAAAAGATGTGAGTATATCTTATTATAATTAATTTAAAATATTTGAATATTATTAATTAATAAGGTTATCAATTATTTAGCCAGCAAGACATTCAAAACTAGAAAAAGCAGATATTTTGGAAATGACTGTAAAACACTTAGAATCTATGCAAAGGCATAATGTAGCTCTATCAGCAGCTACAGATTCGACTGTAGCCAACAAATTCAAAGCTGGATTTACGGAGTGTACAAATGAAGTTAGCAGATTTCCTGGGCTTGAACCCAATGTCCGTAAACGTCTTATGCAGCATCTGGGAACATACTTCAATAAAGAAAATGTTATCAGCAACCCAAAAAGTCCATCAACACCTCCAGAGACATCTAATCTCCAATTGCATTTGGACTCCAACCAGAATGCAATTCTATTAGGATCTACCAGTTCAGCTTGTGGGGTTCAATTAGTTCCAACTAGACTGCCAAATGGTGACATTGCTCTTGTTTTACCAACTAGACCTACTGAAACATCACCTCCTCCACCACCTCTTTCTATGATTGTGCCTACACCACCATCCACACAATCTGATTCTTCTGGTTCTGAGTCACCTTTACCAGATAGACCATTATCATGCTATTCAATGGGTAGCTGTGATAGTACAGATACGTACAGTCAATCAGAATTGCCTTTGGCATTGGTTACCAAACATAGAAGAAATGATGAACAGTCTGATCTAGAACAACCTTGGCGACCATGGTAATAATCATAAAATTATAATTTTTTTTTCTATTTATCAGGAGATTCTCATTAATTAAGTATTTTTATATTTGTCTTGAAATATTGTATGCACTTTTTTATAATTTATCAATAATTATTGATTTTACAATACTTCTTAGTGCCATACATTTTAAATTAGACTTTTATTGTGTTTATATTTTTTTTATAAGAAAAAGGCTGGTAGCTCATAACTATTAAGTACATCACACCAGCAAATTGTTTGGGTAAAATTCCAATTGGGTAGGGCTGGTTTGCTGTACATATAACTATTTTATAAGACAGTAAATATATATTTTTGTTTTTACATTATTATCTAAACAATTTACTTAAATGGTTTAAATGTTTTTGTTTATATTAAATTGAATAACAGTATCCACTTGGTCATTAAATAAATAACAGGGTTCGTGCAATTATTTTGTTGATTTAATTTCTTAATCAAATCAAATTGCCGGGCGTTAGTGCAACAAATGTGAACAGTTTGAGTGGTTAATCATATTTGATAAATGCATATAATAGTAATATTTTTATTTATTTTTATTTTTTTTTATGTATTTATAACCATCTTCATTTATAAATGTTTTGATTAGCAGTTGTATATATTATTTATTTTGATTTTTCTTCTCTATAAATCAAATAGTTTACAATGTAACAAAATAGCCTGATGTTTAAAATAAAAAACCATTTTTAAGTTGTATACATTATGTAATTGTTTTTGTTAAACTGTGTACTGTCATAATTTTGTATCGTGTATTATAAATCATTTTATTTTTAAGTTATTTTTTAAGTGCCTTGACAGCAATTATCACAGTGTCTTCCATTCGATTTTATATTATTGGGCTAACATATTATTTAAAAATTAATTTATTTTAATTTTGTGTTATTCGATTATGTGAAATATATGGTAATTACTTAATACTTAGGTAATAAAACTATGTTATTAAATCAAATATTTGTGCATTATTATAATATAAATCCAAAAGTAAAATTGTATTGACCCACTGATTTTAATTGAAATTATGATTGTTAGTTGAGAATTAGTCAAAAATTTTAAACAATTAAAATTAAAAAAATAATGCCATTCATATGAATGATAGATATAATGGTTAATTCATACTTTTTCAGAATTTTTTTAACAGATCTTACAATTATAATTTTTAGTAAAATTAAATGATAAATTGATAATTCTCTAATATTTTATTGAGTTATTGCGGTTTAGGTTGATATATTTACTAAGAGATTTTGTATAAAAAATAAAAAATGGTCGAATGAAGTTTTCAATAAAATCATAAAAATTACTTATTATTATAAAAAATTTAAAAATATTAAAAATATATAAAAAATATCAGCCTCCTATTTTTTTTAAAATTAAAACAGTTGTATAATTTGTCTTATCACCCATAAATGAACAAAACAAATAAATTACTTTAAATTTATTGTCATTAAATGACACTATAATATACAACAACATTGCTAGGTTTTCAACAATGTACCTTATTCAATACAAGCTGTAGGAGTATGAAAAATGTACAACCCAATCAAACCCAGCGTCACTTGTTTTCATTTGCTACATGAAAAATTAGAGGAAATTAGAAAAATATGACAATTTTTTTAAATAAAATTGTAAGATATAAATATTAATTTTATTTGAATAGATTAAAAGTATTTTAAAATAATTGTTTTTCTTTCATTACACATCTCATTATAGTAGGTTGAGTTTATTATTTATTAGTACTTTTATTAACTTTTAACCTAATATTTACTATGTATTTTAATTTTTAATTTTATTAATAATAATATCAAAAAGTTAGAAATTACATATGCTTTAACTGATTTATAATTGAGGCTACAATATTAATTTTGTTTAATTGTACTAGTTAAAAATCAAAGCTATTATTGTGGCCCAGGCTAACTGGACTATTCCAGTATACCTATAAGCCACATCTTAGTTAAAAAAACAATTTAAATCTCTAAAAATGTCCACGAAATATGTATTAAAATCTATATTCATATTTTACCATATATAGTATTAATAAATTGAGAGTCTTTATTCAATATAACAACAATTGCGTGACGACAACGATTTTTATGACAAATAATTCAATAATTATAACTTATAACTAAAGACCGAGTTTCATGGATACTGCAACTTTTTATTAATACCAGGTAAATCAAATGTGATCAAATATATATAAGAATCGAATTAACTATATTCTTTCTATTTAATTTAATAATGCAATTTTTTACAATTTTCAACGGTTTGGCAATTATTGCAATTTTTGTATACTTCACGTGATAAAATATACAAATTATTATTTCTAAAGCAATTTTACAATTAAAATATAACTATGACGTAAATTGTTACATGTAGTTAAATGTAGTTTCAAATTTTTAAAATAATATTTATTTGGACATCCACAATTTTAGAAGAATCAAAATAGCCAATTACTTAATAGTGTAAACATATTTAGTAAAATTAAAAATATTTTGATAAATATTCCCGGTCCCAATGGGAAAATAGTTAAAGATATATTAAAATATGTCTTAGAAAAAAAATTAGGATATAAAACTATTAATTTATGACAGGAAATCAAAATGTTAATTTAGATAAAACACCAAATGTTTTAAATTATTTTAAATATGCACCGATAACAAGTGCTCAACGTCTTTTTTCATTACATAAACATGTTTTAAGTAATAGATGATACAATTTTCAAGAACATAATTTAGAGATATATATAATTATAAATTTTAATTCAGAAAAATTATATATTTATATTTATGTAAGTAATTAATGATTGTATGTTTGATATGATTCTATTATGTAATTTTAATTTTATTTTTTGTTGCAATTTTAACATATTTATACTGCAATTTCGATACATTTTCATTGAAATTTTGGTATCTTTTTAATGCAATTATATCCGATCTTTATTTATGACCATATTTGGATTAAAATTTTTATTTTCGATTATAAAACGAGAATAATGTTAATATTATCATTGAATCGTAATATGACCTCTGATACGGCTGGATTGATTGGAGATTTACTACATCAACATGTGGTAACAGGTCGAAGTCAAAGATCACACGTATTAGATGGCTAGTAGTATTTCATCATCATAAGCATTAGAAAATCTATGTAGGCCGTATCACCATCTTAGGGCTCAGGGCTAAAAAGAAAGATTTTCTTAATGGCGTCCATTTTGAAGATATTACATTTTAGTGAATTCGTGTTCAGTAACGAAAATTGGTGTCTTATTTCGTTATGAACCATAAATCTCCAGCCCATAATAAAAATAATAATAAAAACATAATTAAAAAGTCCCCAAATAGTTGGGAATAAGGTGAGGGAGAAGAAGAAAAATATAATTAATAATTAATACATAATAATAAGAATGAACGTCGCTTTAAACAATTGTATATAATATTGGTTACTGGATATTAATAATCCATCGGTTAGAAGAAGCAAAAGTAAACATTATGATGACAATTTTACTGTTAAATAATCAACATGTCTTTGATACTCACGATAGAACATCATTAATAATTACTATATAGAAATTAAAGGTTTAAACAATGGTATTAAAACTAATTAACATCAGTAGTGGTATGAACTTACTTGATTTGTAAGACATTATAAGATATTATTTTGTTGACTGATATACTTAGCCTATTTAAATTAAAAAAACTTATCAAAGTTCTTACCGTTCCTATTATATGTCTACAATTATCCAAGCACATCCCACGCGCACACTTCTATGTAAATAATATTGATATATCAATAGTAATGAATTACATTATACAAACCTATTTTCATTTTACTGTTTTCGCTGATAAAAAAAAACTACCAAAATTTTTGATGAAAAAAAATCACAGATCGAGTAAAATAATACAGTACAATAAAATATAAAAAATATTAAGTGTTTGAAGTTTTACTTACATCACTAACATCGTCATAGTTTATTTTAATTTCTTTAGTTAAATTATTAAATATTTATTGTTTTACTAATAATTACTACAAAACTATAGCATTAAAGACAATTCGAAGACCAAGATGGGTAAATACAGAGAAAACGTGAACAATTCTGCTTTGGAAGAAAAAAAATGAAAAAGTAATAAAAACAGGAAATGGTATAACAATGGTGGTATACGTAGCCTACGGAGGAAGATAAAAGTTCGAAAATTGACATTTGTGAAAGTGATAGAAATTGATGAGCCTATATGTTTGATAAAAATAAGCTATTTAAATATATTTTTTATTATTATTTCTTATGTACCTATATAATAAATAATTAATTCGCATTACTTATTTATTTTGTTATGTTCCATAATTTGTTGGCTAATTAATGATTATCATGAAAAATAATCCACAATCTTAATTATTGATTCATATCTACAGATTTTTGCTCTTTAGTTTTAGTTTTACTCTGTAATAATTTGAATCCTAATTTAATTTAATCCTTAATTTATATGTATAAATAAAGATTTTAATATTTTCACTCATCAATGCTCAGATCAAACCGCTGGACCTAGTAGCTTAAAATTTTGGTAGTATTTATGTTTTATTATGTAGGAATTGTATCTCATTTATACACTATTAGAGATGGTAAGAAATTATTTCTCGCAATCCTCTCCTATGAAGATGAATAAGAATGAATAGGTTTTTACATTATATTTTTTGAATTAGATTTTTATAGCCAAACGTCTATAAAAATACTTAAGTATCAATTTTTAGATTTTATCTTGATCCCTCCATAAATGAGTCAAAATAAGTAACAACTGATTTTTTACGTTAATATATAATTAATATAATAACAATAATAATAAACAAGATTTGGAGCTTTTAGCACTTAAAAACACGCAATAAACCATGCACTAAAATCGCAATTAGTATAAATAACAATTTAGTCATTTTCATATTTGCATCTAACAAAAGAATCTAGTCTATTAAGAAATTCTTCGATAAAAACAAAATTTTAATGTTCAAAGTATTTAATAAATGTCAACAATCATTCTTAAACTGTTACATCAATTAACACACATGCACTATTACCAATAAATTGTGAATTCCACGCACTATTAGCATAGACGAAGCAATAAAAATGTATTAAATGTATTGCTAATTTAATTTAAATTATTTTACTTAACTATCATAAACAATGAAAAATTGTAGTCTGAATATAAAAGATAAAAATCAGCATAAATTTTTTTTATTGGATAAATAATATTATGTTCTACAGAAAACCTTGAAATTTGGAAGGTATTTCAACTCACAATTATTTTCACAAGTAATGCCGTACAGTAATAATTTATAAAAATTGTTAGCCGATTCAAATAGTAATTTATAAAGTGGATTATTTTTTCGTATAATTAGAGGATACACATAGAGATGAACTATTAGTGTTGTCACAAATAACTTAAGACTCTAAATGGTTTTTGTCTTTTGTTTATTGTTATAACTTTTGGTTAAAATACTTATAAACTAAGATACAAATAAGTCTACAACAAATCTAAACTAACGTAATTAATTTCAATATTAATTAATTTACTAATAAGCGAATTACTACTTAATATATAATAAAAATGGTACTTTTTCTTATAAAATATATTGAAATATTTCAATTTACCTTTTACATGATTTAAAAAATTTCCAAATATTATAAATATTACCAACGGGGCAAAAAAAAATCAAACGTCACAAAATTAATTATAAATTTTTTCCTTCGCTGAAAAACTTCAATAATGAATATGAACTGCATATTTTTAATGCATTACGAACTCTTTAAATTATACAGTTATATTTGAAATTACATTCACGAAATTCACCACCGTAAAACGTGTACACACAGAAAATATGTGGTTTGCATAAAAGTTAATAAACCAATATATTAACCTAGCAACGTAATATATCTGTAATGTGATTATTAAAATTAATGACTATTATTATGATTAATTAATTTACTATTATACTAATCAAACCACCGTCGAATAATCAATAATCATACCAATGATCCTTGTATCTAATTTTACTTAAATCCTTCAATTATACGTTAACAGTCACCCATAAAGTGTTTTTAGATATTGTGACAACGTATACACCGGTACGTAACTGCTGTTTTTCAGTCATTTGGTTTACGCCGGACACGCCAGACGGATTAGTTACGAGAAACTCTCATTAGGAAGTCTCTACATTAGAGACGTCAACATGGTTTCTTACCTCATGTTAATAATATTTCTGTTTTGTATCAAAAACACTATAGCTGCATCAAAATCTCATTTTAAGTCCAAACCTTCCATTGGTACGTATTTTTAAAACGTATTTTTAGATTATTAAGACTAGCAAAAATTATGGTTAGAACGACAACACTGCTTTATTCATTAATATCTCAAAGAATAATTTTTATAATTTTATAAACATGACATAATTTATATCCAATTCAGGCACCATTATCAGTTGATGCTTAGTAATATTGTTATATTGATTTATTTCAACAAAGTTTTTGAATTATAATGGTATATAATAAAATAAGAATAGCCCACATTTGATGCAAATGATGATACAAATTCCGATTTCTTCACAATTTGTATTAATTATTGATTTTGTTTGACGATAGAATATTTATTATTATAATGATGTGAGGTTTATCTAACTTAAATGTAGGGTTTAAAATATTTTAATTATTACAAAAAATAAATGAAACTATGAAATAAACGAAAGAAGAATGAGCAGACTTGAAATGTGATATTTACACAAAATGTATAAACAATTGAAAAATCAATAATATAATACCAAAAAATTAAAAGTATATTTAAATATTAACTACAATATGTTATACTTTAATTTATATTAAATAGTGTAATAATAGTACACTATACTCAGTATCTATTTCATTGTTTTATTGTCCTTCAGGGCATTTTTATTTAGAAATTATTAATTTTTTTTTAAACCACTAAAATTTTAAAAATTATGTATATTACTTTTAATTACATTTTTGGTACATTGATAATAAATATTAATAAAAATTACTTTAAATGTAAAAAGTTTAAATTTCTAACCAAGTATCATATATAAATCCCAAGTTGTGTTTATACGTATTCCTCGAAAAACGACAATATCATTGTAAGAAATGGATCTTGTTAAATAATGCATAGATAAATATTTAAGTATTCAAATAAGACGTGATAATATGTTCAATATGAAACCCAATAGCCCAGTTGACATTTAAATTATCTATACATTCGTGACTATGGTACATAAACTCAGTGAATATGTTAAACATTATTATATAATATACTGATTCACATATAATGCATAATGGGTATTTCATATACCCAATGATACTAAATATTAACGAAATATATTTATGATCTCTTATTATATTCAAAAGATGCCAAAACATGGACAAAACAATGCTTCAAAATGTAAATCACAAAAAACCAAGTTGTTTGTGATCAGGTTTGAGCCAAAAAATCAAAATATACCGATCTACAATTAATCTTATAATGTATACCACATCCAATGTAATAATATAAAACGTAATAACCCTATACATTTCATTAAATTATGTCAGCAAAACATGTAAATAATCTTTATTATTCTTATTCAAATTATAATTTTTTTTACTGCAAAAGTATGAAAAGAATAAATATAATTTATAAAAAGTTAAAATTTTTTTTCCTAAATTTTGCTAGTAATTCTTTATTTATATAATCAAAAAAATAACTGTCAGTTATTCATCAGATAAAATAAGCAGTTGCCAAAGGTAGACATTTTCAAGAAGTGACGATTTTGTTTTAAGATTCTATTTTAAAATTTTTTAATTTATTATGGTAAAAATCAAACATTTTTATATTCCACAAAATTATTTTATAAATCAATATTGGCTAAATGTATTCAACGAATTCAATTTATATTATAACTGATAATACAATATGTGTAAGAACTCAAGAAGAAATAATTTATTATAAATTATATTTATGTATTTTTTACATAATGCGTTTTTTTTTTGTAAAATTTTATTTATTTATCCATCAATTAATGTTGTAACTTTTTTACGTGTGTGTGAACATATTTATTCTAAATCATTGTGATAGATTTTCATTTACTAAATATATTGTATTGATATACATCTATACAATTTTAACAGTTTATATTATTATTTACATTATTATTCAGTATCAGTTTAGATGCCTTTAATTAATTTAAGGAAAAAAAAGTAATAGGTTGGCTTGATAAATACTTTAAGAAAAATACGTATTACTCATAAATAATAAATAGTTTACAAAGGTGGCGAAATAAAGTTACCACTGAGGCTAGGAGCGGCAATGGTGTACATTTACGATTGACAGTTGTACACACATGCTCGTAAATTTGTTTGGTGATTTAATAAGTAAAATAAGAACTAATAGTTACATAAGTTATCAATCGACCAATGAAAAAAATATCAGTTTAGTACTTATATTATAAATACATAATATTTTGATAAGGTAAAATACATTTTTTATTTTTAAAGAAAACGCTAGAGCACACATATGGATTTATAATTCTTATTCATGCACAAATTTAAGTAACTGTGTTAATTGATCTGAGTTCCTTGCACTCGAGACAAACTCAGTGATCAATGGGTTTCCAATAATTTCATTCTCTGTTTGATTATCACATTTCGACTGCATGCAAGGTCATCAGAATCGGAATCTCTCAGTCATTTGCATTTCTTGATACGGTCCTACATCGTCCATGATTTTGCACCCATGACTGCATTAGGGGTCAATCGTTACATGTCGATTGGCATGCGATTACGACACAAACTTAACTACCTACTGCGACTGCAACATTGATGGACGTTTCACATCAATTGGTTCTATTTGATTTTCCAGACAATTATTTCGCGGACAAGGGACGACCTCTAAATCAGCGATCAAGAGAATACGGTAAGTGCGAATACGTCCCGATGATCCGTTCCGAGATTTTTACGGTAAACGTATTCAATATAGCACCTATATAATAACTATCCGCAATAAAATCCCATGTGTATTAACATGTATTTCATTAATCTATTCTTCCTCGTACACAGTTATCTGGAGATGCATAATACTACGTATGTAGTATTACATAATATTATGAATACATAAATATAATTAAATAGAATTAAGAGTGCAGACAGGGGCGGATCCAGAGTCGGGGAACTGTGGGTCAAGCCATTTATTAGGGATGAAACTGAATTAGAAATGAATACCTTGTAAAAAAAAAACACAATATGCTCATAAAAGTGTATAAGTATATTTATATTACATTTTAGAATTAGCGATACCACCGATAATGACATATTTACGATTAATTAATATAATCTAATTTTATCAGCACAACAACCATACGGAATAAAATATGATTTACCTAACTTTCTACTAAGCCGATATAATTTAAAATATAAATTATGAATTGAAAAATTTTAAATTTTGAATATACATGGCATTCATTTTTCAAGTAACTCCGATGGGTAAACTGTTCAAGAGTCCAAATAAAGGTCTAAAAAGAGAAAAAAATTTTCAAGAGGCCAATTTTGTCAACAAATATTAACTGTGGGTCAGCTGACCCCCTGAACCCCCCTAGATCCGCCCCTGGTGCCAGACCAATAATTTAATGCACATCGCTGAACTAGCTTACATACATACATACCATACATTATATACGTCTTCAAATAATATTATTTAGTATACGTTCTTTAATGAGCACTTTTTTTTCGTATAAAATCACAATGTACACTTTAGAAACATTCAATTAACAAATCATCGATCGTACGGTAATTTTTGAAATTCACACACGCACAATTACACTGTTGAGTTCACAGTGAAATTGCGTAAAACCTAATATATCAACGAACTAAATTCAAATATAGATGGTAACTTTTGGATGAACCGTGGCATGTCCGACCTAAGACGTCGGGTCAAAACGCTAGAAAAACCAATCATTGGACGGGCAAAGAACGTCGTGTTTTTCCTGGGCGACGGTATGTCCTTAGCCACAGTGACTGCGGCCAGAGTACACATGGAACAGACTTCCGGCAAGCCGTTTTCAGACGGAAATACTTCACTAACGTTCGAAAACTTTCCGTACACCGGATTGGTCAGGGTGGGTACAACCGTAATGGTACATAGTACTGATATATTTCGTTTCCGAGACGATGTATACCCTACTAATATATTATATTTCATACTTATAAATTTCATATGTTTTTTCTATCCATATAGACATATTGCGTGGACAAACAAGTGGCCGATTCGGCTTGTTCGTCGACTGCCTACATGACTGGTGTGAAGGCGAACTCGGGAACATTGGGTGTGACTGGCGCCGTTCAGAAGAATGACTGTAAGGCGTCTTTGGATTCTAAAAACCAAGTAGACTCAATATTACGGTGGGCTCAGATGGCTGGAAAATCTACCGGCATCGTCACCACCACGAGGTAAATTTCCGACAGTAAATACCTATACAGTGTATCTGATAAATACCTGTCTGTGTGTAATTGAAATCCTAAACGTATACGAGAAGAAAACTGTAAATATACAATTATATATGTGTGTGTGTGTATATACGAGTATATACATGTATATTTATGTGAGATTAACATAGAAATCATATTACAGACCAGTCAGTTCAGAATTGTTCACCACTTTTGTACTTAGATAAGTAATTAAATACGAGTACCATACGTCTGTGATTTTATTAATGACATTAAAATTTGTAAAATAAATACATTTGAAATAAGTGATAGTCAAAATATAAAGAACCCTCCCCCCTCATGAAAATATGTCTAGGCACGCCCCTTACAATTGTACAATACAGTTCTATCATACGAGTATATATTTAATTTCATAATTTAATTTGTTTTTGATGCTAAGAAAGCTGAAAGTTAAAATAATTAATCGTATGTAGGCACAGTATTTTTATTGTCATCTCGAGACAGGTACAATCATGTAGACCGGTTTCGTAGTATTTTGAGTAAAGGTGAGATAGATGTTTTTTGATTACAACCCAACAAAAGGACCACCCACCGGGTAAAGCGTAAAATATAATATTTACTACATACTAATTGCACTACCCTTGCTATTATTACTCAAAACAATAATAATTTTCTATTAACAGACCATTAATAAGGTAAAACATTTTTATAACTGACCTACACAAGTCTCTAGTTTAATATAAGGTGTAGCAACATTACAACATATTACGGTTATTATACACTCCGTAATCCAACACAATAATTACAAGAATCTGGTTTTGCAAGTATAGTTGGTCTTATTCAATTAACTCGTTAAGGTTGGAGAGGCAAAAAACGGATTTCAAATAAAATTGACGGTCTCTCCTTATTTGTCGAAGTTACAAAGCAAAAAACACAATTAAATAATATATCTTATTTCATGAGTATAATATTATTACCACAGCCTGCACATAAATTCATACCTTCATGTGATACCGTCCACAGAGTAACGCACGCATCACCGGCCGGCGGCTATGCTCATTCGGCTGACAGAAGTTGGGAAAGCAGCGCTCCGGGTGACTGTTTGGATATTGCTCAACAGCTGGTGACTCGATCGCCCGGGATTGAGTTAGATGTACAATAAATACAAAACGGTTTTGTCGTCGGAAGAGACTTTCGGCGTTTTCGGATGTGTATTATGGATTACGGTTTTCAGGTAATCCTGGGTGGAGGCCGACAAGAGTTCCTACCGAAAAAAATGAACGGCAATCGAGAGGACGGTCGGGATCTGATCGCTGAATGGAAGGTTCACATGATGAAAACCCATCAAAAGTACGATTATGTGAGGAACAAAACCGAATTATCAAATGTGGATCTGAAAGACGTGGATAAACTTTTAGGTGAATTTGTACATAGTAATTAATATATAAATAATATAACATTATATGTATATAGTATATATTATGTGGTGATGGAAAAATTTAGAAGTTGATTTTAAAAGCCCAAATAATACCAGGTGAATATGATTATACTCGTATTTAAATATCTACAGCGTTTAAACTAAAGATCAAAATAAATTAATTAATATAGTATTTTACTCAAAAAAAATTATTAGACGAAGACATTAGGGCTAAATTTGGGTAGAGACTACAATTGATTTTGAATCGTCACCGAACAAGTTGTATACATATCTCATATATTGCAAAACATGATTTCATTAATTTTTCATGAATTTTCAAACGTCGAAATCAACGTATATCATGTAATGTAAACTGAACAATAATAATAATGATAATATGTACTCGTAATTTGGGTATGACCCGTTTAGAAATTAAATAAATAATAAGTTTTGTGCGTAAACCGATTTTAGGTTTGTTTTCCATGAGTCATATGTCCTACACAGGCACCAAGGAAATAGAAAAGGACGAGCCTTCTCTTAGTGAAATGACCGTGGCCGCTATAGAAGTGTTGCAGAAGAACGAGAACGGATACGTGTTGTTCGTTGAGGGTGGTCGGATCGATCACGCGCACCATCAGAATCTGGTAAGCACACGTATAATGGTGAATGAATGTATAATAATGCAGTGATATGGGTCCAGATGGAAGATCAATATGGTACGGAAACTTCTTCTAGTTGGAAATTATGTAGGTACACGATTCTGTACTCCTACAATAGTTATATTGTGAATGTAAAGGCTACGAACATCTGACCTGGACATACCTACCCAGGGACGTATTTAAGGGGTGGTTCGGATTTGAAATACTTAAGGGGGTGGCAATATTTTTACAGTGATTCTAAATAATTCCAAATCGATTTTTTTGTATTCTCAATGGAAAATAGTTTTTGAATAAATAAAATTATATAAAAAATAAATGGTATACTATAAAATAATTTATATTATTTAGTAGCGTACAAAATGTATGTACATTTAAGCGTATTTTATTCGAGATATAGGCATTGGTTTAATCTTGATTTTTATGGAAATGAGGCATTTGACCGAAAGGTGTTAAATTATTTAAAGACACCATCATCAGTCTTATAAAAGACAACTTTATATAAATTTATTTATATAATTATAACCCAGTTATTATTTTGGATTTGATATTAATTACAAATATTGTATAATAGTGTTCCAAAATGGGGAAAACGAATTGCGAGCAGCTTTTTAACGAATAGTTGGAGACACTTATTTTCAGCTTCAGGCAATATGGGCAGCAAAATGTTGTTGCCCCTGAGCGGAAGAATCTAAGCCCTGTAGTAAATTAAACCTAAAACGATTTATTTCTTCGGTCATTTGAGATTTCTTCTCCGATAGTTTTCACTGTAAGTAAATGCAAGTTGCGATATGACTGAATTGTGCAGCCGTCTTTTACGATGGATCCACTGTTCAACTTGTAGAGAGCCAAAGGGGTTGAAAGACAAACGCAAACCATAATTACTTAAGTTCTGATTCTATGTGACGTAAGATAATAAAATATATCACTAATCATTTATTTAAATTACACGCACCATCATTAAAAATTTATACAATTGTATACCAAGTTGAGATATATGTATATTTAGGACAATATAATAGGTAATTAAAATCAATTAAGGGGCAGTAACCGTTGGGAATTTGAAGGAACGTTCCTTTTAATCACCGTCCGCCTGGACCTGCGAACACTTGCAACATAATTATAGCTTGTGCACGTCCGTTAATATTTATCGGTGTATGCCCATCCGTTTTTTCCGTATACTGCAGGCACACATGGCCCTGAGCGAGACGATAGCTTTTTCTCGAGCCGTAAATGTGGCCGACACTATGACGAACCCGAAGAACACGCTAATTGTCGTCACGTCGGACCACTCGCACACAATGACCATCAACGGGTATCCGTCCAGAGAGGATCGCGTTGTCGGGCACGTAAATCGTGGTGGCGAAACGTATTCGATTTTAAGTTACGCTAACGGACCGTCGGCCAAAGAACACAAGTACGAGAAAGAACCGTCGGAGTACGGTAAGTCAATAATCACGGATATCGAATGAGTGATCCAATATTTTTCTGGATAGTAATAGTTTTGACGTTATCTTTTCGTCACAGGTGAAAAGTTCGCACTTTATCCGGCTCTAGTGCCGATGTCATTGGAAACGCACGGCGGCGAGGACGTAGCAGTGTGGGCTCGAGGTCCGTGGGCCCACTTGTTTGTCGGGAGTTTCGAACAAAACGTGTTGCCCTTGATCATGTCGCACGCATCGTGTATAGGTCCCAGCAAGGGAAAATGCTCAGATAGATAGTAAACAGCAACGAATTTGCAGCCAATTTCCCAACCATAATTGTTAATTTTGTTCAATATTTTCGCCAGATTTCATTTACTCATGTGCTCATTTGAAATTTATAATTATTTGAATGCACCGTCGGTGGTTAACTATTTCTTTAATTACGTCATGACTTATTATTATATTAATTGAATAATTATTTATTTGAAGTGACCGTTGTCATCAATTACTGTAACCAAGTATTACCAATAAGTGTATATATATTATTGCTCATTTGATAATTGATTAATTCATTTTAGTATACATATTTTGTGTAAAGAATTTAACCATGATTATTTAAAATTTAAATGTATTTAATACTTAATTATTAGCGAAATACATCCAAATACAAATAATATTTTATATTTGGGGTTCAAGTTGTCATAGACAATGTCAATTAATTATTCTCCACAGTAGGTATATCACAAAACATACACACACAAACATATAGTTGATACATAATTGAAAATATATATTTTTAAGAATTTTCAAAGCTCTTTATTTATGTATAAATATAAATTATTAAAAAATTTGATTTGAAATATAAATGAAAGATTTTTTTAATAAAAATTATTCTAAAATTGAACACTAGAAAAAAAGGATTTAACATTATTCTGAGTCTTCGCTGGTATACTTGATAAACCATAATGCAGTATTTATTGCAGAATCCATATATGCAGCATCAGTGTTTAATGGATGACAATCATTGTACATCAATACTCTGAAATAAAAATGTACATCAGTTTTTTTTATTCAACCACAGTAAATTAATTTTACTTGGTCGTGACGCCATGCTTCTTAAGAAGATGGTAATAAGAAAGACCCTGTGATGGAGGAACACGCAGATCTTTTTCACCAAGCAATAACAATGTAGGAGCTTGAACCTTATGGGCATATTTACATGGTGAACAATCAGCTAGTTTCATCATCACATCTTTGGAATTGACCAAGGTATTCAAATCAGAATAATTAAAACCTACTTCAGTTACAGGCCTGCAAAAAATTAATTGCAAAATAAAAATTTTAAAAAATTATATATATAATAGAAGATAAGATAAATAGAGAACCTTGCCAATTTGAGAAGTCAAAAGTAAAAAACAATATTAAAATCTAAACCACCAGATTTCGATTAGAAATTAGAATTCGATTATTTACCTACTATTTTAGTTACTCTACTAATTTAATCAAAAATAACATAACTATGTATAAATTATGTGCTTTAAATAACATACCATTCAGTAATATCTGTTGTTCCAAACATAGAAAGCAAATCAGTCACAGGATTCAATGCTGTTACTGCTTTAAATATAGACTGAAAATGAATGAATCAATAAAACAACATTAATTAAATAATTTATTTACAGACAGGCAAGACTAAAAATTTTTTATACATTTTAAAAACTAATAAATAAAACAATAAGACCAATAGTCAGCAATATTTTTGGCTTGTAGAACAACATTTTACTTTGATATATGAATTTATTCAGGCACCAAGAATAAAATTAATTATATTAATTATAATTTTATAAACTCATAAATAAAAAAAATATATCTTTATTTATTTGATTTCGGTATAAGTAAATAAAATATTTAATTTTTTATAATTTCATCCATGTGCAGAATAAAACAGTGTTCTATTCATTTCCTAAAGCACACATGGAACCAGAAATATTTATCAATAGGGTGGAAATGAGAAGTATCATGAAAGTCAGCGGTTTACAAACTTTTAGCACCATCAAATGCTTAAGAAATGGTTTGTGTTTTGTGGAAACTAACATCTTGAATTCTAGTTTAACCCCAATTTTTCAATTATTTATCAAAAAACCAATACTCTGAAAAAATTGTTAACGATTATTGTATATTACTATTAAAACATAACTAGTTTTACTAAACAATCTTACTCTATAAGGAAGTGACATTTACTTGGCCCTTTGTTACACATGTACTTAAAAACATCTTAGCATATGTATACAAATCCATGTATTTTTTAATAAAATCTGTGTACTTAAGGATCAGTGCGCTTAGTTACATACACTATCAACTTAATATATGTTCATATTATATTTTTTACTTTGGATATATGCATATAACTTTAAACTGTTATTAAAAAATCAAATGCATACATACTCAGACTTTGTAAATTTTAATACATAGACCAAACAGATTTTCCCAATATTTACTAAGTAAGTGTACTTGGTACAATAAAGAATACTTACTGGATACTGTCCACTTAGATGTGTAACCAAAAAACCACCATGTGAACCACCAAATAGTACTAATTTCCTATCAGACCACAAAGAGTTAGATTGAATTGCATTGTATATATCTTTGACATCAGCATCACCTATATTACCAAGTAAAGATTCAAGATAATTGTTGCCTAGTCCTGTTGATCCTCTAAAATTGATGAGTAATACAGCAAAACCTAATAAAATTAAAAACAGTAAAAAAACTTGGTAAAATTACAATTTTAAAAAATATTTTACATATAAAATTTTTTTTAGTCCAAGTAATAACTTAATACCTTAATAATATAAAAATTAATATTAATTCATCTTATATTGTTAATTTTAATGAGTATAGTAGGTATACTATACTATATTATACTAATGTTCCATTTTAAAAGAAAACAAGCTCTATAAAATGTCACTTTAGAAAACACTTTAATTAACAACTCATTCACAATCTAACATTGATTATATTTGATAAGGTAATCTTACTAACTTACAATATACATATAAGTTGTATACAGGGCTGGGCAGTATCGTAAATACTAGTATTTAAGATACATATCTGAGATACAATTATATCTTGTATCTAGTATCTTTTTATGATTAAAGATACTAGATACAATATATTCAGGGCTGGGCAAGATACCTAAAAAAAAGTATTTAAATACAAGGTACAAGATACTTCAATATTTTTAAAGATACTAGATACAAGATACAGGTAGCTGAGATACATATAAGATACAAGATACTTTATACATTTATTAATATTTATTTATTTGTTCATTCATTTTCATTATTTTTTTAGGTACAATAAAAAATAATATAAATATATTTATAAATTACATTGTTTATTTATTAACTAATTAATGTTTAAATTTAAAAAAATGATATGTAGTATTATAGTAATAGTTTTTTATATGTTATATCCCATGTTTTAAAATAAATTCTCAGTTACCTTTTAAAAATACTAATTTCAATGAATAATAATAAATAATTATATATATAATTAATAATAAATAATTTCAATTTTCAATTCACATTCATTATTTCATTAAAATTGAATATTGTATAGAATGTTCCATCTAAGGATTTTGGAATATTAACAATTACATTATTATCCATGTTTTTAGTAATAGATACTTAAAATTGGACAACACTACACAAACACTGCGTAGACAGAAAATATGAACCGATCATCGCACAATCACACAGTCTAAAATAAATGTTTAGCGCGATAAAATTAAGAAAACATTCTGCTGATAAACTGGATTTATGTAACTTTTGATCACAAAATTTGCTCATAATAAAAATTATATTTAACTTTATTATGAGCAAATATTGTATACATTATTCATTTACCAAGTGAATGCCTTCGACGTGAAAAACTTTAATCTATATTATTAATAATTATTATTACATAACAATATATTATATCAAGTATCTTTAATCATAAAAATATACTAGATACAAGTTAAAAAAGTATTTAAATCCATGATATCAGATACATTAAAATAATGTATCTCGATACAAGATATAAGATACAATTGTATCTCACATATCTTAAATACTAGTCTCTAAGATACTGCCCAGCCCTGAGTATATTGTTATATAATAATAATCATTATAATCATTAATAATTTAGATTAAAGTTTTTCACGTCAAAGGCATTCACTTGATAAATTAATAATATATACAATATTTGCTCATAATAAAGTTAAATAAAATCTTTATTATGAGCAAATTTCATAATCATAAGTTACATAAATCCAGTTTATCGGCAGAATGTTTTCTTAATTTTATCACGCTAAACATTTATTTTAGACTGTGTGTTTGTGATGTATCTTATATGTATCTCAACTACCTGTATCTTGTATCTAGTATCTTTAAAAATATCAAATTATCTTGTATCTTGTATTTAAATACTTTTTTTTAGGTATCTTGCACATCCCTGGTTGTACACTTGTATATTATTTTGATGCAATAATTTATCATTATTATAAAATAAAATGTTATATAGGTTCGAAATTAATAATTAATTATTATAAATTCACATTACCAATCTGAACAAAGAAAGCAATGATTCCTGCATATGAATCTACAGATGATGAATGTGGTCCTCCATGAGGTAATACAATCAAGGGACATTTGTTATTTTTTGGGCCGTAAAAAATTGTAGTGGGTTTATCTAAAAATTAAATTGAAAATGTTATATAGATTTCTATGTACTTTTATGTAGCTTTTTAAATCTTACCATATAAAGTACAGCCATGTTCAACAATAAATTTCTCACTATTTGGAAGACTACGAGATGGAGATATTTCATAAATAGAAATATTATTAAAGTCATAATCACCTTTCAGAGAATGCAATTTGACAGTGATTAGTTGTCCAGGTTTATTGAGAGAAGATTTATAAAACAGTACACTATCATCATACACATCTATTACACTAACACTTTCATGAAATGGTTTTGTAATTGGAAGATAATGGATTTGTTTTGATTCTACAAAATTATTTCATTATTATGTTAAGATTACAATATATTTTAAAGAAGTAAAATCATTACCAGTATCAATAGCAAATGAATGTATTGAACCACCTTGAGGTGTGCTCAACAAAAGAGTTTTATCATCATTCAACCAACATCTTATTTCTAATTTTTGATTATATAAGCCATAGAATGGCATTATATCATTGTTGACTTTGAGATTAAAGGAATCTTTAATTATATCAATTACTGTACTAATCTAGATAAAATCACATTAATTATAAAACAAAACACATCATCACAGATTATATGAATATATAATTATTATTTATTTTATGAAAATATAATAAATAATATATATTAATAAAATATAATATAATTTTATTTTTTTATTATTATTTATTTATTTATTAATTCATATAATCTGTGACATCACTAAAAAGTAAAATGTAAACAAAAAGCTACCTCTTTAGTGTACCAATTACATGACATTAATTTAAAACATGAATGATGTGGTCCTCCAGCTAAATGTTCTAACCATACAAGCTTTGTGCCATTCATATTAAACCTGGGAGATTTTACAGACAATTGTTCTGAATTTGAACTCAATACAGCTATTAAGAAAAAAAAATTGTATTAAACTAAATTTTATACATAAATAATTTAATAATAACTATTAAAATAAAATATTTATTGAATATTCCACTACAAATAAGTAATAAGTATTATCAGTCTTAGATCAATAAATGTACTAAATTAAAAATTTTCATATTTATACATCACCAATAAATTATACAAATAGCAGACATAATATACATATATATTTAAACTTTAAAATTAATGGAACAATAATTTTTAAATTCTTAGCAGTATAATTATTGGTATTGCTTAATACATTAGTTAATTATCACTAAGTATATGTATTATTTAGTTTATAAATATATATAATTTATTTATGTGCTACATACAAAAATAGAATAAATTATTTTTTTTTATAGTAAAAGAATAATTCTTACAAAATTGTTTACTTGTTAACTTGCACTACTAAATTATAGTCACTTTATATACTCTGGTATAATTATCTTAATTACTATTAAACTATCTAATCCTTGAATAACTGTCGAGGTGATAGTAATTTATCACAGGTTGCAAAACCAATTATACCAATCATAAATTGAAATTACTCCACAAATAAAATGGAAAAAGTATTGGAATTTAACTAGTATTATATTGAATCTAAAAATATAATTAAAATACTTATAAAGTACAATCATTTGTTTAACAGTCAGTAACAATTGCACAAAGAAAAATGATTAACTACAATGAAAGTGATTTAACAGATCTATAAAAGTACTACCATATGGTTATTATAATTTGAACCCAATATCAGTATATTAATTCATATATAACAATATAAAACATACTTACTGTATTGACCATCTAATGTAAGAGAAAATATATGACTAGGACGGTTAGTACAGTAAATTAAACCAAGTTTCCGTGGTGTAATTATATATCCAATTCCAACAACTCCACTTCCATCAGGATTCCATATAACTGATGCAGGATTAATATAATTTGGAATATTAGGAAGAACATTAATAGTATCAGCTTTTATATCACAAATAACTAAAACCGGAGTAATTTTTCCAACTAACTGTTCACCCCAATCTTGGCTCCATTCATATTCTTTCCCCTACATATTAATTCCTCATTAGTATAATAATTAATTTCATAGTTATTTATGTAAATAAAAAATATACCGGCACAGGATTATTATCCACACCATCTTTGTCAGCAGAATTTTTTGGTTTTTGTTTATAAAATGGTTCTGATTTAGGAATTTTTTTTTCAGCAATGTAAATAATTTTAGTCTCATCAGGTGACCATTGTAAAGTTGCAAATTCAGCTTAAAAAAAAAAAATAAACTTATCAATATAAGGAATTAGAATATACAATTATACAAATAAAACATTACTAACCATCATCATAAATTTTACCATGTACATCTAAAGCACTTAAGTCAAAATTGTTTACTAGTGCACCATCAGCCCACACTTCTAAGTATTGTTTTTTTTCATTTACAGAGTTTACTTCTCTGACAACGCAAAAATATTTTAATGATTTAGAGTAAGAACTTATCACCCTAAAAGTAAATTATTAAATTTTAATATTTGTAATCTATACACTTTGTGACATAGACATATAATATAATATGTCTATGCTTTGTGATGTCTTTAATTATTTGATACATACTCGTTTGTAATGTCAGATGGAGGTGAAACTATAGTAAAAGTTTTATAATCAGACACAGTTGTTTGTCGAAATTTAGTTGATGTTAGCCGCTCTAAAACTCTTTGACTCCAAACGGATTGAATACTAATATTATTGCTTGAGCAACTGAGTATTCTAGCAGATATTAATGCTGGAAATTGTGTAGTTAGACGAAAAGCTGTCACAATTTTATCTAACTGCAATGTACAATGGTACAATATAATTAAATCAATAAAAATTTATAAATTACTATTTCTTTAAATGATTATTCTTACTTGAGCCATTTGTTTTTTATTTATTTACTTAATTCTTAATCAATCACTCTTAATCCAAAAAATGTTAATAACCTAACCTGTAAAACTAACAACAATTTAAATTAAACTTAATTAGATACAAAGTTCAAAAAAAAAAAAAAAAAATAGAAGCACTAAAAAAAATAAATAATACAATTCTAATTTTGAATATTTCTTATTACTGAAATGTTATCAATACGAATTTACAATAATAAGTTTATGATAAGAAGTCTGCTGTTAAAACTTCTATTATAAACAAATAACCAGTATTATTTATACATATAAATAAGTAAGTGTATATAATTATATAATAATAAATAAATAAATAAATATCAATACACCTTCATTATAAATAAGATTATATATGGTTATATATTTATTGTCATTACATAATTTAATGAGCTTATAAAATCATAAATAACCTATTTAAAATATGCCTTTAGCTAATCATTTGTTATAGTTATTTAATGAATGATATTTATGCAACCCGGCAAGAATCTATTTTGTGATCAAACGCCATTTTTACCGTGGATGGTTAGTTTTGATTATGTTTCGCTGGTCTAAAATCACTGCTACAACACCATAAGAAACAAATAATATAAATATTTTTTAAATAAATAAGTTTTTAATTTAAAGAATTTTTTATAAAAATGTTTTGGTCATTTGCATAAGCATGCACTGACATTATTGCCAGGTAGTGCTGTAAAAACCGGATGTACAGAGGGTGCATTGCACACAGAACCTGGGCCTCGAACTGTATATCATTAGGCCTCAAAAGGTCAAATGTTCAAAAACGTTTGATGATTAGGGGCCTCAAGGTTTTGATTCGCACACGGGCATTGAGTAGTCTAGTTACGGCTATTTAATAATTATAATCAACACTCCTCTTCAGAAAATTCTAGCTACGCCACTGGTATACACACGCATAAACTGATACTTCATAACAATATTTTTAGTTGGAATTATTTATAACCTGTACTATGGTATTATCATTTCTTCTAAATTATATTGACTTATTCTACATTTATACAGTAATGATTATTGAATACTGAGTAGTGAGTATTACACTATGTTGTTGATCATTTTACTGTCGCTGTCCATACGAAACATACGTGCTTTATTCGCAGATTGTTTTTATTGAAATATAGATTTTATAGAAATGTTTTTAATTGATCCAAAAATATCACCCCAAATAATATGTACATTTTACAGGGATGATAAAAATATTGATAAGCTAAAATTTCACAGAGATATATTTCATGATATAATTAAAGGCCAAGGATTAATTGTTTCATTATTCGCAGATATATTAAATATTTTTAAAATTAAATCGTATTTAGTCATTCAGAGCTCAGGAAATGCATACAATTGATATTAACAGTACCAATTACTACATGTACTACTGAACGATCCTTTTCTATGTTGAGGAGGTTAAAAACTTATACCAGAAGTGCCATGACGCAGACCAAGTTAAATGATCTGGTACTTCTAAATTGTCATAACACAGTAGCAGAATCTTTAGACCTAAGCAAAATAGGAAATATGTTCATAAATAAGTGCATGACAAGAAGAAATACTTTTAAATTGAAATAAATCTAATTTTAAACAATAATATTTTCATCATAAAATGTAATGTACCTATTGTAATTAAGTTAGAAAAAAAATTGTATTTTCATGTAATTTTTATTTTTGTTTTTATTTTCATTTATCTGAACCCAATAAAAAGAATTGGAATAATATTCATGAACAGTAGTATAAGTATTTTATTTGCCCCCGTGCTAAAATATAAAAGTCGGCGCCTATGTATGTAGGTATGAGCATATATATTGTATATTAACGGCAATATGTATAATAAATATGAGTTTTATGCAGTGACGCACGCAGGGGGGGTTAAGGGGTTGTAAACCCCCACGAAATTTTCTCCGATGTCTAGGTTAAAATTTACAAATTTTACAAGTTTAAAATATAAAAAACTAGTATTGGATACCTAGTATCATTGATTATAGAATAGTCTATTCTATTATCTATTATTCTATTATTTAAGTCAAAATATATTAAGGATTTGCATAATTTTGTTAATTGTAAAATGTGTTATATTTTTACCTTGACCTCCCCCGAAAAAAAATCCTGTGTGCGCTACTGGTTTTATGTACCTAATAGTATTACAGAATATCAATTATTACAAAATATATGCACACATAAAAATTAGTAATTTAAATGTTATGTTAGTATAGATATTTTAATTGCTTTTATTTATTTTAGATGTTATAAATATTCGCGTCTGAGTGTGCTGCTGGGTAGCTTCTCTCTTCATACCCTCATGTCTTATAAAATATCTAACCGCTCATATGCTTATTGTAAATATTATCACACATTGTATATATTCTAATAAATGCTTAAAAAAGAAAAAAAAGATGTTGATGAGACAAAGTAAATATTCAAAGTATTTTATTATTGCAAAAGGAGATATTTTTTATTTTAAGAGGATAAATACCTATCATTATTGTTAACGAACAAAACATATTTTTAAGTAACCAGTAATCACGTGGCTCTTTATTTTCATTTTCAATTAATCATTAGCAACATCTTTCAATAACTGATGATATGGTTCATCGGTTACTCTGTTTTTTATATCATATTATCGTTTTAATAACTCAGTATTGAAATGATATTTCATATCACGCACTCGATTATCCATGCACGATATTTTACATTTTATGGAAGACTGGAATGTGAAAATTACAAATAAAAAGTGTGCGGCTGTAATTGTCGATCAGTAGGAACCTATCATAACTTTTCGATACATTATGAATATGAATATGAAATGCATTCAACATATTACCTATACATTGTTTGGCACTTCATATAATGCCTAGATCGTTTAAATAATTTTATAGATTGCCGTTATGTTTGGAATTCCTAATCATTATACAAAATGCCATAATTGTCGCACATTGGCACCCGGAGGGGGGGGGGGAAGATGGGGCATTTGCCCCCCCCCCTGCAATTCAATAGAATGTTGAATATTTTAACTTTTATTTTGATTTATCAACATTTAATCGATATTTTTACTTTAGTGTATGCCGTGTGGTGTTGTTGATCGTAATAACAATATATTATAAGGCGTACCTACAAAATAATGCGTATTACATTAATCGCGCAGAATTAAATACGTTTCAATTCTGTGAATTGATATTAATCGCCTAGTGTGTAAACCACTTATGACGATCGACGCACCACGCACACATAGCTTTGTGATTCTTTTAATGAAGCCTCTATTGGCTCTACTTCATTGAAATAAATAATAGTACAGTCAATATGGAGTCATCGGAATTGTGTGTAGTTGAAAGTGCTTCGGTTACCATGAATACAAAAAATAACCGTAGTCATATAATCTTAACCTATGAAAAAGATATTGGAAATTATTTGAACGTCGAAAATATTGACGATTGTTTACATGAACTTTTACGTAATCCTTGGGTACCGAATACTACTTATGACTTTAAAAGTGATTTGAAATCAGGAAGAACTCGAGCATTTAGACATCAATGGTTGTACGAAAATGGTTCATGGTTGACATATTCAGCTCTTGAGGGTGTGAAAGGAGCTTTTTGTAGAATATGTGTGTTGTTCAAGCCATCAATTCATAGAGGTGTACAAGGTGGATTTATAATAAAACCTTTTACTGTATTTTAGAAGATGCATGAAAATTCTTACATGCATCTTCTAAAATACATTTGTCTTCAAATTGGCACACTGAATCAATGTCAAGAGCAAAAGATTTTATGGATATTATGAATTGTAAAAAAATTAGTGTTATTGAACAAGTAAATTCTGGATTGCATAAAGAAATAGAAACTAATAGGCTAAAATTAAAACCTATTATATCAACTATTTCGTTTTGCGGAACTCACGACCTTCACTTACGAGGGAAAAAATCAGATTCTGGTATTTTTCATGATCTTTTGAATTTTCGTATTGAATCTGGCGATGAGATATTGAAAGATCATTTTTTAACTAATGTGGGAAATGCTAAATATTTATTCCATAGAACTCAAAATGAATTAATTACATTGTGTGGAAAAATATTAAAAGAAGAAATAGTATGTGAAGCTAATGCCGCAAATGCGTTTTCCATTATTGCTGACGAATCAGCAGATATTTCTGGTGTTGAACAGCTAACAATTGTAATTAGATTTTTAGACAAACAGTCAAAGATTCGAGAAGAATTCCTTGGCTCTTTATCGTTAGATAAATTAGACGCAGAATCAGTTACTACTAAAATGTTATCATTTATGGAAGATAGTGGCTTTAGTTTAAGTAAGTTTTGTGGACAAGGTTATGACGGTAGTGCTACGATGGCTGGAAAAGTAGCCGCAGCATTGCTAAATTAATTCGTGACCGATATAATAAAGCTTTATATTTCCATTGTGCTAGTCACCGATTAAATTTAGTAATTAACGATCTAAAAAAAATCATGATTATTTGTAATACTATTTGCACAATAAAAGAAATTATAAAATTTTATCGCGAAAGTACTCTTCGAAGAAATCTTATACCTAATATACCACTTTTTTGCGAAACACGCTGGTCTTCAAAGTATAAGAGTATTAGGCTATTTTCTGAAAATTTTATTGCTGTAATTCAAAGTCTTCAATCTTTGTCTATTAATGGTCTTATAAATTCGAATACAAGACAACGTGCTCTATGTCTATACTCTTCAACCTCAATTTTTCATTTATAATTACTATGAAAATAATCGCAAAATACAGCGCTATCTTAGAACCGGTTACAAATATTTTGCAAGGTGTATCAATGGAGCTTTATAAAGTTCGGGAACATGTAGAGGAATTGATAAAAATGTTTGAAGACAATAGAACAAATGCAAATGAAATCTTTAATTTATAATTTACTGATGCCAAATCTATAGCAGATGATTTTAAAATCACTATTACTTATCCCAGAATAACTGGAAAACAATCACATAGAAACAATTATTCTTATGAATCTCCCAAAGACTATTATCGAGTATCAATTTTTCTACTTTATCTAGATTCTATAATTCAGTGTATTAAAGAAAGATTTTAAAAAAGTAATAGTGTTGCTTTTTTAC